GCGACCTTCAAGAACAAGGGTAAAGTCCTCAGAAACGTGACGGCTCTCCTGGACTGTGACATCACCTTCTACACTGGAGTTGTGGTCAGTCACTTCAAAGACATCACCTTCGATGTGACTGTGCTGCCCTACCAGAGTGAGCTCCACCACAATCTTGTTGTTTTAAAGTCTGAAGATTTGGTGATGAACGTTTTAGCATGTCTCTCTGTTTTACAGGTTATAGTGTGCCGTTTAGAATCCCAGCTTATGAGTACCAGGCCCAGCTGAGCTCTCAGACCTGCCTGCGCTTCATTGTGAGCGGACAGTCTGATAACCTGCATGTGCTTGACTTAAAGGTGCTGGAGCTGCAGACCCCGGACCTCAAAGTGACGGTAAGGCGCACAAAGGAGGTGATGTGAAGAAATAGGCCTAATATATGGCGAGGTTTTTTCATCAGTCAATTATTTAGAAGGATGAGTTGTTAAATATCTCCAACAAAGCGACCAGAAAGTTGGCTTTAAAAGGGGGAGGAGCTAAAACTGCATTTTTCAGAGGATGTACTGAAGGGCTGAAGGCCCGTGATAAGACAAAGAAGCATTATTTTGAACTGTGATGCATGCAAAGCTGCTCTAGTCCAGGAATGAAAATGTGGATCTGGAAATTAGCAGAAGGGGTCCACTTTTGTTTTTCTGAGACAGACTGTGCTGGACTTTGTACAGTGACTGTAACTTTGGACTCTTCCTCTAGTTGAACGGGGAGCCTCTGCTGAACCAGGAGATGGGTGTCAAAGTGGAGTTCACCAACAATTTCGGCTTTCCTCTGCGTGGCGTCAATCTATCCCTCGAGGGAGCGGGGCTCATAAGTCCAAAGTCTAAATACTACAGGTAAACACGCCTCGGACGCTGTGGACTGACGTCGGGATGTTCTGTGTTGAACACTTTACTCTGTGTGATTTTCAGAGAGATTCCTCCTCAGGCTACCATCACCTGGCAGGAGACATTCATCCCTTGGCTGCCTGGACTGCGTCGGATCACGGCGTTGATGGACTGCCAGGAAGTCCGTCAGGTAACCAGCACAACCTGACCATTAAAACCAGAACGGCTCCAGTTTCCTCCACACGCCCTCTTACTTCCTTGAAATTGTTAAGTGTAGTTACAGGTTGGTATCCTCTGAATATCTTCTCGGAGCCTCCAGAGGGCGCCGAGACGCAGTGTTTTATTTTGGTTCGACATCAAACACAAGCACTCTGCTACTGCGTGCTGATTGGTCGGATCAGCACTTGAGACGACAGATGTTAGTTAAACCATGCCACAGGGATTTTATTTACCATAATTCTTTCATTATTTACTTAGCAATTAATCTTATTAGGCATCTGAACGCAGTTTATTTGTTTTTTATTTAAAATATTATCAACAAACTATAATTATAAGCAGGATTCAAACAGCTACAGTAAAACTACAAACTTATAAACAGCCGCTCAAAGTAAAAAATGCACAAACTCAGTCTTAGATGTTAGAATCATAGTTAACTCATATTATTTAGCATTTTGTTAGGTTTTGATTATATTTCTGCCTCGTGGTGTTTGATATCATGTGTGAAAGTTTGCGACGACTGTTTTCATGACGAGCTGATCTGTTTGTCTTTACTCAGGTGTCTGGATTTGTTGAGGTCGACATCCCTTACCCTGCAAAGTAATCACCATTTCCACCAATCAGCACCACTTCTGGATGAGTGGGCGGAGCCAAAAAAGAGCACAAGTTACCGCTTTAATGATCGCGTTTACAAATCAGTTTTGAAGTACAAATGTAACTTTTTTTAATTCCACAGATTTGGAGGTTTATGCAATTTTTTAAGATCAGAGTTTTTTCACTTCTCTAATATTGAAGCAGCTTTATTTCTTACCATCTATAACTCCGCCTCCTCTGGACGGCTAGAATAAACCACACTTTATGAAAATAACATAACAAATAAGAATCGTAGTTTTCAGTTTATTTGGCATATTTGAGAACAGATTTTACAAATTAATAAAATGTAAAAGACATATTTTAGATTCAGAAAATATCCATTAAAAGAGATTTATTACATAAAACCTACAAAATGGAGTTCAAAATGTTAAACGAGATGTTTGGACCTCGTTTCATCACCTTCATAATGTGTTTGAAGT